CAATTTACGTATTTTTTCTAACATGGTTTATTATACGCTATAACTAAATATTCGCTTAAGATCATATACACTCTCTATAATTTTGGCATTCAATACAACTAAATGAATACATCAATCATTTCGGCACATACTTGGTTACTTTTTTCCCGTTATTACTAACTAACAATAACACATTATTTTATGGCATTAAAACCCTGCAGTTTTTCACGATTCACATTAATTTCGCTCAAAGTTTGAATATATATATATGTGTATGTGTACTGTTGTCAACATCTTGACATTTACATTTAAGAAGCCAAAACATATCTGCGTCGGCTCGGGGCAACCATTAACGAAAACGGCAGATGTTTATGTCAGTAGTGCTCAGTACTTTGTTTTATTTGTGGGAATTTAATAGATTGTACATATGTCTGGAATTATTTTAAAACTAAATTAAAAGAGATGTTTTCATGTACAGTCTGTTAAATCCATTTTTTTCATATTAATTACTAAGATAGGTATTTATAACAAATTAACATGATTAAAAGCCAGGAGAAAAGTATAAAACTCAAGACAATTAAGTGTGAAAGTCATTCTTTAGGAATAAGAAACAAACTTTGAACTATATTTTTTATTAAATAATATATCACAAGAGTTGCTAAAATGTACAAAAACAATTAATAATAATTGTTCTTAATTATGTGTAACAGCAAAACCAAAAAACGCTTGTAAACCATTTTGCCTTAGGTCATTAGTTGAGTATCCTCACTGTTAGCAATGTTTTGAGATCTTAACCCAAAAACACCAGTTTAGCGAATTAGCAAGCACCGAAGTGAATTCTGTTAACCTATGGTGGTGAACAGATCATTATACTTATATCTACGTAATTTGCACACAGTTTAGTAGAAGATGGAGTTGTGCGGTTGAAATGTGCACCTAAAATGTTTAAACTCGTCTTTTTCGTGACAAATATGTATAATTGAGCTGTAGTCGGGCACCAAGCCAGAAAAACCAAAATTATAATCCAAGTAATGTTTTCTCAATCGTTCATATGTACTGTTTGATAATCTCAAAGATGGTACTAATTTGAAATCATTGAGGAAAGTAAAGATGTTCAGAGATGGTTGCCGCGAAATACAAATATCTTGGATTCTATATATAAGATAGGATAAGACAATGAGTTTACTGTCTATTACACGCTAATGAGATCAAAGTATCCATTTCATGCATTATTTGACCTACACAAACATAACCAATTCCAATGTTGCACCTTTGTGAAAGCATAAACATTCAACATGGCCGCCAAGACATATACAAAAGGTTATCTTGGATCCGTCTTTAACTAGGAACAGTGTATTTATATCTCCTCTATTTTGTTTTGAACAAAAGAGTATTCTTTTTATAACATTTAATTGATAGATGCATAACTGTTTAATGTAATTTGTATGCATACCAAAATGTCCAATGTAAATTCATCATGTACATAAACTAACGTAGGTCAGGTGAGTGATGTTAAGTTTCTTGGTAGAACAAATACTTTTTGTCTCCATTACACAACTGGTAAACCGACGTCTCAACAAACATTACTTTTGTAAATGATAAGATTTAACATTCTCCTCATATATAGGTTTAAATGTTACAGAACATAAAGTCTAACTCATTAACATTATTTTCCAGTAACTACTGCAACAGATTTGTAGTGACAGGATCTAATGCTACACCGCAAGCAGGACCACTGTTTGCCAGAATCAACAGGAAGGATCGTTAAAAGACAGGTGTTAAAATATCTCAGCACTTGGTAGTTGTTGCTAACATAATGGGGTTCGTGCAGAGGCGGGGCAAGATGTATTACGGCGATATCTGATGACATTGGCGAAGTCGTCCCGCTTCTTCATTGCTATCTGGTGAAGACACTAGCATGCAACTAGGAGAACCGCAAAGAAGAACACAACTACTGTATCACAACGTTTTCCCAAAACACAACTACTGTATCACAACGTTTTTCCCTGCACATGCTACCTCTTTCTCTGACACGGTAGCGTACATGTGTGGTGTTGGCAAGGCAACAGTCGACAAAGTGCTCCTGAAGTGTCACAAAATTGTCAGACTTGGAGGTCCAGAGTCAGATATAGATGAAATTATTGATGAAGCAACTGTATTTGTTTCAGCAGATAATAGAGGCAAAGGCACAGACAGTAAAATAAAAAAAATGTTCAGAACTGAGGTCCGGATCACCAACGTCGGAATCATTCACACCAAACACCAAAAGAGTACATTTCCAAGCATGCATTTGGAAATCTGCGTTGGATCCGGACTCATCTAGCCTTGACATCACAGATTTGGATGAGTCTAATTATTCAGTGTGTATATGTATCTGTTTGTTTTTCTTTAGCAAAGCCACATTAGGCTATCTGCTTTATCCACCGCGGTGAACCAAAACCCCGATTTAAGCGTTGTAAGTCTGTAGACTTACCGTTGTCTCACAAGGGGGGCGGATGTGCACATGAACAACCCTATTCGACCGCGACATATGGGTGCAAAACGACTCCATTGTATGTATGTATTCTGTCTGTCATGCTCTGTATCTCATGAAAGGTTAATCGAAGAAAGAAAATTATGTATCAAAATTCTTCTTTTAAGGAATACATTACAGGAAAATTGTTCCATTTTTCGCAATTCCTAAAATATCAATATCGATCCTTCAGTCTTCCTATGTGTTGAACGATCACAATCTGAGAAAAACTTATTAAGAACAAATCTGTTCTTTTTGTAGGGGAACTTCATGAAAAGAACGGTACTTCCTCCGTCGGCTGATTGAAAGAAATATTTCGAAGATGGGAGCACGAATGGAGGAGGGGGGCGCCTAAAGAGAGGAACGTGTCTGCATATATATTAGTTGTTGTTGTTCGGTCTTATATACATGCATGATTTTAATGTAACATGTCGAATAATTAATTTGATTCTTATAGACACGAGAACTGTCAAAAAACTGCTCACTTTAGTAGCGGCCATTCCCCGCGCTCAATAAAATGACAAGAAACCGTGACATCCAGCGGAAAAAATCCAAGCAGCTACTTAGCGAACCTGAGCGCTCTATTGTGCTGGATACACACATTGCATCGAAACCCAAATATTTTTCCCAAAAATACATCGCAGTCATTCTCCTTTGCTTAAAAACAAATGTATTGCAATTTTCCTTATTAAAATAACACACGGAATGACAAAAGACGGTTGTTAACGACCCACTTGACAATCATACCCATATACATTCTGATCCAAAAGACTGGGTTAGCTGCACATTTTACATTTATTCATCACTATGTTTTGGCAAATTACCATTTAATTCTTTCAACGGGCATCTGATAGTATAACAAATGATTTCCACAACATGTAAACAAATGACACTACTGAGTCGAGTGATGAGGATTACAGCGATAAACTCGAAGAAAGTAATGAATTAAATGGCGTTTGAACTAATTCGTTTATTCATGGGTCTACGGTTTTAGACACATCTAGGTATTTAATGGTGCCAATCCATTATATCTGTCATCAATCGTCTGCCCATTAGTTTTGTGCCTGCTTTTAAGTTTCATGAACACTGCATTTCGTTATCAGTTTGGAGAATTATGGTCAATGTGCGACAACTGTCTTCACAAATTAGTTTGAAAATTCAAGAACTAGTTTTTCGCAAGCTTATTCCATTAAATACAATATAGACACCAGAACCAATATCATAGCTTCCCAGAAGACGTAACTTGTGGTCATACACGTAACTGTTTTATAGCAGAATTTGTAGTTCATTATTTTGAAAAAAATAATTACCCTTATAAGTGAAACAAAGTAATAAATCGACTATTTGACCTCAAAAATCTAGTCAGAGGCTTAAAAGTACCGTCCTAGTCAAGCTATGGTTAATTTCATGTTCCGGTAGCTATCTCTAATATTTTAATTTCCTTACAGGTGTTAACGGTATATCATTTGAACCCGTAATCATTATACATAAAGGTATAAAAACCACTAACAAAAACAATAATTGAACCAGGGTTCTGCTAGTTTTCAATAAGTGTAAAGGTATTAAGTTATCATAGTTGGATGTTACAGAGATGCCAATTCTTTAAAAAGTTGTAGAGGAAACTTTGGATGCTTGCTATATAGGTTATTTGTAGGTTTTTAAAGTTTTTTTAGTGACAGAACTACTAAGGCTATCTGTTGCAGTCCCTAATTTTGAACTCTCGACCAGAGGGGAAGGCAACTGGCAGGCAGCACCCACCACTAACTCTTGTGCTGCTATTTATCAATGAATAAAGATTGACTCTCACATTATAACACTCCCACTGCTGAATGAACAAACACGTTCGGCAATAAGTTTCGAACCCGCAAACCCTTCCCCCAGATTGCAAGTCGAGTGCCCTAACCACAAGGCCGTGCCAGGCCGAATAAATAAATGCTTATTTGTTCTATTTTAAGAACTCATGTTGAACTCAGTACAAAGTATACAGGCTATACCATTAATTAAATAAATGTACAAAGAGGATTTGATTTGAATTTCGCGCAAAAGTACTGAATGGCTACCCGCACTAGCTGTTCCTAATTTAGCGGTGACAAGGAATCTAGCCAACACCATCCACCACCAAATCTTGGGCTACTCTTTTACCAACGTATAGTGGGATTGGCCCTCAATTATAACGCCCCCATCGTGAAAATGGCGAACATATTCGGTAACAGGGATTCGTACCCGCGACCTACAAATTGCAAGTTGAGCGCACTAGCCACCAGACATGTATAGAGGAAGTCTTATGCGAGAAAATTATGCTAAGAGATGTTTTACCTACGAAAAATAGCATAAGATCATCTTATTATGTGAAAGATAGGATGTTTTGGTATGTCGTATGATTTTCAGTAAAATGTTTGCTAGAAATGACCAGTTATAACTACCTAACATAATAAAAACTGCATGTACACATATAACATGGAACTGGTGCAACAACACAGAAGAGCTGACATATGCAAACGGTACTCACCATTTCTGTTTTCACTGTCAGCCGGCTTCATCTGTATAGGGTGATGCATCTACAGGTACACATAGAAGACAAGATAATCAGACTTACAAAAATACACCTCTAACAGTAACAAAATTCAGCTGTTAATTTACTTCATTCTGGTTAGAATGTACATACACAAAACACGTAACACAGGGATACAGTCTAAAACAAAAGATGTAGTGAACAGCTCTGGTTCTCTTATAACTGAACAATATACACTGATACACATTTGCTACCAAAAAAAGGGCTTCAACATATCACACTCTCCATACATTTCTTGTTTGAACTGGTAAATAAAAGAACTGAGGTTTAAAAAAAGAAAAAAGGGGGGATGAGCATAAATACAAATTATAATAAACACTGGCGTACATGAACAATCCTGAGGCAATACTTCTGTCGATCACTGATATCAGCGTCGTGGGAAATTACTTTACATACATACAAGTCATTAAAAACAGCATGAAGGATTTATGTCCAGCCTTGCGCATCCTAAATTCCTGCAGCTGATTTAAGCTTTTCAGTCCTAACCAAAACTATTTTAGACTGCGGTAAGCCTGACACTGATTCTCACAAAACGTTCTTTGAGAAATGTAAACTTACTGCTGCCGGTTTATTCCTGGGCCTCCTTTGTGAATTCGTCATTTCACTAGCAGTCTCTTCTCTAGAATTTTAACCAATTCAAATGTAAGAGCGTGAGCTTATTGTCACTCCATGATGTTTCAATTGTTCCTGGATAACAATTGTTTACCACCAACATCATCAACGTTTCTTCATGGTGTTTACAGCAAGTACTAATTGTTATTATGCGTTTGGAATGAACTGTGTTTTTACTCCTTATTATACAATAAGAATAACTTTAGAGAATACTACACAACTTGACAGATCTTATTACAAGACTTTCAAATGGATCATTACAAGGTTCTCAGGGTAAAATTTCAAAACAAAGTAAATCTTACTCTAAAATATTCACTTATAAACACTTCAAAATATTTGCTATGATTCCGCAGCTAAGAACACACTTTTAAAAGAGACTCACCGTATTTTATCTTACAAACTTGAACTCCACAAATAATAAGATTCATGGAGAGAGAAAGAGGGAGGGGGGGGGTGAATGCTTATTAGGATAAAAGAAAGATATTTTTACATTTTTGGAAAAACTGCCGACCTTCAGATTTGGTGAAAAATATTTAAAACCTTATAAGTTTTGCCACGACATTGTTTTTTGTTTATGTTGAATAGAATGTCTAATTTTTTCGATGTGATTAATGTAGTATGTCTTTTATTATACCAGAATCCTGAACTAATTTCTAAAATTTACAGTGAACAATGAGGAAACTGATACCTACTTTACAAGGTTCCAAATAATTTATCCAACTGTTTAACAGCTTCAAACTAATGGAACAGCATTTAATCAAATCTACGTTCGCTCGTTAAACACCAAAGCTATTACTTACAGCCAGTGGAGAAGCCACACGTTCTATATAGCAGTCTTGTTCGTTACAGCCTACCAGCTCGAGTACATACTTAATAAATTATACCAGCATGCAGTCTTAATTACATGGGTAATTTCATTTGGGACACGTCAAGCCTTTCCTTCATATCTTTATCAACGATAATATTTCCTTAATCTTGGCGGCGAAGAAGAAATTACCCGTGTAGAATTACTTAACTCGCTTTTTACAGTACAGACTTTTAATGAAAATGTTTATACATAATTGAAACGCATACTAATATTGCATAGCTTCAAATGTTGAATGAAGCAATTACAAAAGTTTCGACTTAATCATTTCGTATTAGGTTCATGCAGGCATCTTTTACAGTACAGAAGATTCTGATTTGATCAGAATATTCTACTGGTTTTCAACATTACTCATGCTCACATATTTCATTTATTTAACGTGTTCTGTTATTCTGTATTTGAGTTTGAACGTCTAAAGTGTATCATATGGTACTAAATGCGTTAAACATAAAAACGTTGCAAATACACGAAAATTCTATAATACACTAAACTGGAACAGTGGCTATTAATTATAGACAAAGTTAAAAATGTGCAATTATCTAATGCCTATAAAGAGAGGTTTAGGTATCAATGTGACTATGATTCTCTTCCCTGACTACAGTTAAGAGACTTAATCTGCTCGTGCACCACCATATAGACATCATGTTTGTCTGAGGTATTACTGAGAATGAGGAGAATATAGGTCCTTCAGATCTGCAGTATTCCTTAATACGAGTTTGTTACCAAGACAGCATTAGAAATTAATCAGATGCTACAGTTTGTTTCTTTAAGCACAAAGCTATACAACAGGCTATCTGTGCTATGTTCATCATGGTGAACTGAGCCCCGGATTTTAGCGTTGTAAGTCCGTATATTCATCGCTGACCCATCGAGGGATCAGAAAAGAAAGATTGAACGGCGTATGTGATAACGAGTTCCGCCACTGTTGCTGTAGCTAAGCAACCGACAGATAAATGGTGTCTGTGATACTCAGCTTTTCCAACGTCGATATTTCCGTCGAACTACCAGTTGAACGGTGCTAGTGATATTTAGTTCAATGATATAGTCGTTCAACTAAAACTAAAATTGCCCAATGACATAAAGATTTTTTACAATGTGTATATATATATATCCTTTATACAAAGTAGCTGAATGGTGTCTTTAAGATTTATCTACACTGGATAACCATTTTATCAGTGTCCCTACACATGTGCAACACACACATACACTCCAAATACTTGCATAATCGAAAGACACAGGTCGTGCGAGTGTCAAATGACCGTTTGAGCTCCATGAAAAGCAGAAATGAGATCACATTTACCTTTTTTTTTTTGTCAAAGCAGTAGCTAATAACAAAGTTGTATACGACTTAAAAAGGAGTGACATGATAGTCGGTGTCCATCAACAAGTGTTGTTGTTAACTGACCAGCTGTTCAAAGTAACCTACCATCAGAGTTTCGTAAGGATGTTAATCTACAAGAAAATGTCCTCCACTATAAGAAGAACCATATAGTTGTCAACTGGTGGTAACTTGACAGAGTAGAAATTAGTTTGGACAGCTTTTTAAAGTGCAACAGACAACAGAATCCGTCTCCTCAATTGATAGATTTCGTCAAAATTGACCAGGATTCAACTATCTTCAACCCTATCATTACAACAAATGTCATATGACAATCGAGAAGCAGACACAACACTGATCATCCCAAATGCAAACAAGAAGACATATCTTAGATGTTAAACTGTCGACAATGAACGACTCGAAATATATGAAGTGGTCGAAAGGTTCGTTTTACACCCTTTTCAGTGCTGACAAAGGGATAAAACTACACATGGTACTTGACTCTTTAATTACATGTAGAAGTTCTCAAGATATAATGAAATATATTAGTTTCTTTAGAATGGATGAACAACATACACCTGAATACTGTTGCCGATTATTTCCTCTCCACAATTTCCTATTTCCGTCCTGATGAACAAAAGCTCTTCTCATATGATGCTGTATTAACAATGGACAGGGTTTGAATTGTCCAAAATTGTTTTGAGGGGCATATCAGTAATTTCAATCGACCTTATCAGGTAGTACAATCAAGGGATCTCGATTCAAGTGAACAATCGCATTTATAACCATACAGGAACTACGGTTAGACAAGGAATTTATTGCATCTTGCATTGCTTATATTACGTTGATTCCACGGTATTAATGGGGCAAACAACAGTGAACATTATATGGGAGGTCCCAATAAAGTGGCTTGCCAATGAATATCCGTGACACTACCAACTGAATAGTGTCAAAGATGTCGAGTTCCACCAACGTAGTAGCAGTATCTGTTCAAATAACAGCTAAATTGTATATGTAACAATATTTTACGACGTATCTGTATCTATGGTACTAGTAGCTGAACAGTGTTTTCAATAAGGAGTTCGTATGATGTACCTGATTTCCTGGTACCATAAACTGAAAGGTATGATTAATAAATAATAGGTATATTCGATGGGTCTTTATCACTGACGCTAGCAGCTTAACGACGTCGGCAATATTAACTTTCTCCACAGAAGCTAAACCCGTGACAGAAGAAACTGCTCTGCAGTACATATCTTAAATAGTTTACCGTTCTAATTAGAGTTGTACGGCGGCATTTATATTGATTTTAAAATGTGTAGGAGTATCTGCAATAACACAAGTTGCTTGGTTAGGCATGGGATTTAGTCATATACGTGACGGTATAGAATTAACGAAACTAATATACTAAATATATAAAAAATGATTTCTTAGCAATAACAGCTTTGTAAAAATAATAGTTTTACATTATTTTCTAAATAAAACTACATTTTATACAATGTCAAATATATCGTATTCCAAAACGTAATACGTTAAAATAACTTGCTTAACATATTAAAAGTACAACAGTATTACCGGTTCTTTCTCACTGTTAAATTTACTGTTTAGAAAACTGTTCTTGTCCACAACAGTTCTAAATAAAATCAAGATTATTAAATTTAACTCAGTCAATAAACAATTTCATTTAAAAACAACTACAGGAATATATAAGGTAGCATGCGAAATATTACAATAATGTATCTAAAATTTTATCATTTGCCAATCTGTTACAATAGTCATAAAAGAGACAATGTTCAAAAAACGTATTGAAACTCGTAGCCTTAGATAAGTTTTTACGTTTGAAGTAATCAAACAGTGAGAAGATAGAGAACGCAAATACACACACACACATAATATATATATATATATATATATATATATATATACACACACACACACAACAAAGTTTAAACATAAGTAAATGTAAATTTTGTAGGATGATGCAAATTTTAAAACTATCCCAAAATTCGTCATGATAATTACAAGAGTGGTTATTTTCTAAAAGTATGCAATCAGTTCTCTTAACTCGCAAATAATCCGTAGATTTGTAAAAAAAAGCAACTGAACATAAAGTAACGATAAATTATACAAAATACGAGGTAATACAAGATATTTTTTCCTATTAGAAGTAGCTAGCTAGTCTTTAAACACC